CACATCTTTGTGTAAAATTTGTGAACAATGTTAGTATCACTTTGTTGGATGAACAAATGACCAAAATAAAAGTTATAGATCTTGATCAGTTCTACATCTTTGTTGTTCATGACTTTTTCAGCTGAAATCATTTACTACTTGAAAATATTGTTTGAAGTTGCCATTTTTTAAAATTCAAATTTTGAATTGATAGAACAAAGTCATATGAAAAATGGCAAAAATAATAGTTGTAAGAAACAAGAAATTAATAGAGCATGATTTTAGAAAATTTCAGAAAAAAAAATCATTAAATTTGAAGTTAGTATAAGGGAGAAAGACTAGTTACAAGTTTTAGCCAGAGATTAAAAATAAAAACTACGCTTGTTCATATGATTTGTGAGAACTCGGTATATAAGAACTTCAATCAGAATTTTGGGAGAGTAAATAATTTTAAATAAAAAAGTTGTAAACAACAAAGTTATATAACTCATTGGGACCTACAATTTTGGTCTTGGTCATTTCTTCATCCAAATTTGTTTGGGTAATTTTAAATTTGAGTTTAAAATTTTGATAAATTTGAATAGAATTTTGACATAGTAAAATGATTTCAAATAAAAAAGTGGGCAACAACAAAGTTGTACAACTCATCGAGATCTACAACTTTGGTCTTGGTCATTTCTTCATCTGAACTTGTTTGAACAATTTAAAGCTCTTGAATTTGAACTCAAAATGGATTTACAAATTAAAAAGAAAAAAGAAAGGAAAAAAGAAAAAATGTCACTCAACCCTACTCTTTCAGGCCCAGCCTATCTCCCTCCATCGGTGGCCCAGCTCCTTTTTCACCTGGGCTGAGGTCTAGCTCCAAGCCCAACGTCGTGTGCCTTATCCCTCTCTCGCGTTGGGCTGGGTACATTGACGTTAGGGGCCGTCATATTTAAAAAACATTCAGTGATGGTCTACTGTCGTCACATAAAAACTTCATATATCGTCCTAAATTCACTACCGTCAGCCAGGCTACCTAAGAATTATATTTTATGATGATCCTTGGTACCTTTATGTGACAAAAGAAAAAGAATCGTCATATATAGTTTTGACGGTCCTGATTTTATGACGCTACAGACTTTTGCGTCATATTATGAAATATTATATGACAAAAATTTGCCCCGTCATGAGGATTTTTGTCATAGAAAGAAGGTTTTCTTGTAGTGAAGATAGGCTCTCATCAAGTGCTTTCACTTGGCAAAGTTAGTCCCATCGAAATAAGGTAACTTGCCCGTGGACACATTGATGAAAGACTTTCGATCAAGGTTAGTCATAGGCATAGAGGAATAGTTAAAGGATACGGCGGGATATTTGTTGTTGGAGTCGACTTTCCCTTTTCCTTTCTTTTCCTTCTTGCCCCTCTCTCTAGGTGCGGCACTGCCGCGCATGGCAAGACAACAAGGATAAGAGTGAAGTGTTGGCTGTCTTGGCTGAGTAACTTAGAATATAGGTGTAAGATAGAGCACTTAGTAGCACATGTTAGCTCAAGCACTGTGTCCCTCTTTATAGTATGGCTTTTCCTATACTCAAATTCAAAATATAAAAGAATTTAAACCTCCTTTGAGTTTGAAGCCATTGACATTTGTAATTGGGGACACCTCCGTTTCGTATAACATCCTCCATTATATATTCCCTACTTGTCATCTCGATAAATCTCATTAGTTCTCTAATTGCGTGGTCATTATCACAAAAACCCATAATTAAGGCTTGATTGCACTTTCAATCCGCCAATGGACATTGTATGGACCGGAGAATTAGTGTACAATTGATAGAAGCTAGGGTTTCGAAGGTACTGTTGAGATGCATTCAATAAGACGGCCAGGCCAAGGTGTTCGATCATCACTAGACTATTATTAGAATGGTGTTGACTATTGAGGAATCAATGTGTTGATGACAAATGTGGAGGAAAATCCAGTCATGGTTTTTATGGACCCACTGGAGAATCACCGAATGATGATGCCAGCTAGCTGTTGGGGTTCCAAAGCTAACCATTGGAGGAGTATTGTGCAAAAGCACACCAGACTGTCTAGCGATGGCAAGAGCATTGTGCTCTCTGTGAATTTTTCAAGTTGCCATTGGATCACCTTTTTCTAACATTTGGCAATGGCTATAATAACCCTTGGGGTCTCTTTAGGTGCCTTTTATCCCTTGAGAAGTCTGGTTACGGGCATGAGATAAGAAACACACATATGTGAGTGATCCTTGTGTAGGCAGCCTTAGTGGTTGTAGTTACCGTGAGCTAGAGCGCTGGATATCGTTGTGGTGTTCCAGTGAAGGTGTTGTGGCCTTCCAAGTAGCGATCCTTCGTTCTTGGTGTGGAGTGGCATAGTATTGGTGTGCAGTGGAGAAGAACACTATTCCACCCTACTTGACACTATAGTGGCACTATTACACCTACTTGATCAGTATGTACCTCATGGGAACAACACCTCTAATGAAGGAACACTTCACACAACAGCCTCGACCACTCTTGGGGTGTCCGCCACAACATGGAAGACTCTCCCTTTTTCTCTCCCTCTGTAACCCTACTCACTAGCGGAGCTACATGTAGGAAGAGGGCCATGGCCCCTCCTTGCTGATTGAAAACACCATTAAGTAGCTATTAAATTGGTGGTTAAAATTAATAAATATGCATATTAAGTAAGAAATTAGTGATAATTGCTGCCTCTTGTTTTCCTGTCCAGCTTCGCCACTGACCCTGCTCCCTTAGTAATGTAAGGGGTAGCAAGGGCCTCTTCTTCCTCTCTCAATTCTTTACTCTTTGAACCCTCTCTTGACATTTTAAACTCATTGTCCCTCGGACGTAAGACATGTTGCCTGGACCAGTATAAATCCTAGGTCTCTAAGTGCTAGGCCATGTGAAGCCCAAGCGCAAAGCTGAATTTACTAGTTGACATGCGGATATCTCTGGTATGAAAAGTCAATAGTATTGAATTTAGATATTTGAAAATGATAACATTATAATTCTCTCACATGTAGCTTCACAAAAGTGTATAATGCTGCTACATTTTATAAATGTTTTATTAACAAAAGGCGCTTGCCAAATTTGTGTTTGATGACAAAAGGTCGCTTAACTATGATTGGTTAGAATGTGTAATCATGAAAGAGTAAGGCAAGAAGGTTTTCTTGCCGGAGTTCACTCACCCATGTTTCTCTCTAAAAGAGGGCGGTTTTGAAACTGATAAAGGATTGACTTGGCCGATTGCGTCTCTGCGGTGGCTAGAAGGTGAACTCTTTTGCTCAGGAAGCACTCCAAAACATAAGCATGAGACATGGATGTGACGGGGGTACTCAAACAATGTAGTGTAATAATCGCAACCGTTTTATGCTTACTCCGGCGGATTTCCCTCCGAAAGGTACAACAATGACATAGCCTCATGGCAAACATGTCGTGTTTGGCTCCTTTTTATGTACATTCCTTGACACGTCTCAAATCACTTTTTATATGTGAATCGACATCACCTTTATCACCCCTGTCAGTTGCCCATGATTGCTAAACAATCTATGCTTTCATGAACATAAATTACTAATTAAAGTTTATATGTACATGATAGAAATGGAAAAATTGATGATTAGCTTGTACCGAGAAAATCATGAAAGAATAAGACACTTTTAAATATATACACAATAAAATGGGAATGTTGCGATTAGATTATTAATATAATAAGACACGAAGGTTTTCTTATGGAACCACCTATGTTTTTCTCTAAAGGGTGAAGAGGAGACAAAAGGAGGATTATGAAAGACTATCTGTAAGGCATGTTGATCGCTTCTCCTTGATCCTCCTTGGATTCGCTAAAAAGCAAAACACCGTTCAAAGCAACGTAAACGCGACAACCGGACGCGTTAAATCAGTCATACACGACAAATACAATAACTGCAACCGTTTTTGTAGTGTTGCGGATTTCTTTCAAAACGGTAGCGCGTGAACTCTGGAGTGAGTGGGATATTGCTGGCTATCCAACCTGCCGAGTCTCGTTCCAGATTTGCACATTTATCAACACATCTCAAAGCGCCGTGACATGTGAGCCGTGACATGTGAACCGACAAAGCGTTTTTCTTTTATTAATTTCCTTTTATTCACCCCTCCTATATCCTAGATGCTTTAAATTTCCAATTATTTTCGATGGCGTGTCGAAACGTTATAGATGTTGTTCTAATGTTACAGATGCCGCCATTCGATTTGTATCACTTCAACTGAAAATTGTTAAATTTCAAACACCACAAATATAGTGTCTCTTTTTTTTCTAGCACATGCCATTTTCATATTATACTAATTAGAGTACACACATAGGGATCCTCATCTTCTAACTAGCTACGTGGTTCTTGAATCTAATTAGAGCATACACGCACTCACATTCCACGCGCTAAACTCCTAGTACCTATTTATGAACAAGATTCTTCACAGGTAAGAAAAAACCACCTTGTTTTCCAACCAACCTCGCATGTTTTAACCTTTTCCTAGTACCTAAATATAGCTGCTCGCTCAAAATTCACCACGGGATCCGTGCCGCGCTAGGCAGATTCACCCACCCACCACACATTGTGACCCTGCCATTGCCAAACTCAGCAACAGCGAAGCACAAAAACCTCAGGTGGCCAAACGCGGCGACGATAAAAGCCCATCCTCGACACGAAAGGCCCCGAAAACAGAAGGAAAACCCGCGCCAGATTGAAAAGGAAAATAAAACGAAACCGTCACCGTCTCCCGGTTTACACAAGGAAATCCCCGTCCTGCCCCTGCCCCTCCACGAAACCCACGACGCCCCGACGCCAGCGGCTGAGCGGCCTCCGCCCCCGCCCCCGCAGTCCGTCCGGCCCCACCACCGGCCGCCCCCACCTCCTCCTCGTCCTCCCAGCCACGCCTACAAGAACCCCCCACCCCCTGCCTTTCCATCGCCCGCCACCAGCTTCTTTTCGCTCGCTCGCTCGCGCGTCCGTCGCCCGCCTGCGGTCTGCTCCCTCTCTCCCTCACCCTCATGGCGGACTGCTTCCCTCCCGAGTCGGACGACCTCCACCGCCGCTGGCTGCCGCGGGAGATCTTCGCCGACATTGGCATCGTCGACCCCGAGGCTGCCGCCGCCGTCGTCGTCACCGAGCCCACGCCCGAGGCCGCCACCGCCGCCGCCGCCGTGGAGGAGCTTGCGGCGCAACTCGCCGGCATCCTCGGCGGCGGGTCCAAGGTGTGGCCGCTCGCCCCGCCGCCACCCCCGGCCCCGCCCGCCGCCGCCGCCGCCCCGCGCCACGGCGCCAAGGTGAGTGGTCGTGCTTGAGCATTGTGGTCTCCGTTTCTTTGGCCCCGGCCCTGGCCCTAACAACGGCATCTGGTTTCAGGTCTGCGGGCTGGAGGGGAGCGTCGTCGTGTCCTGCGGCGCGACCAATGGCGGCGGCGCTGGTGCCGGCGCCGTGTCCTGGCCGTTCTTGCCGTACCCGCAGCTCCAGTGGCAGGTATGAAAACAACACCAGCCGGGATTCTGCTTGCCGCCGCCGCCGCCTCTCCCCCTTTCTTTGTTTTTTCATAATGCTTGGTGGACCGCTGTGTTTGCCAAAATCCTCGGTGTTTTCCTCTCTTTTTTGGGGTTTTCCGTCTCTGTTTTGTTTTGTTTTGGAACCCCGCCGCCGCGGCGCCGCCGCTGATTACATACAAAATCGACAGCTGGTTGTAACTATCCTTTGCAATTAAGCGAACCTGTTTCCCCTTTGGAAAGTAATGACCCTTATCATTGGTTTAATCATGAACACGCCATATAGAGAGTTGGATCCTTTTTTTCGTGTTCGGCATTCCGATGAAATTTTTGAGATGATTGCTGATGCTTATCGCTGGTGCCTTCCCCGTCGTTTTCAGGTCGGGAGCAGCCTGGTGAACCACGGCAGCGTTCTGGACTACCCGGTGCTGCCCCCCGCTCTGCCCTGCCACGTCCCGCCTCCGGCGAACCTGCGCGGCGGCACCGGCGTGTTCCTGCCGCGCGTCGAGGCGTACCGCTACGCGCCGGCCACTCCCCCGGCCACGGCCAAAGGTACCTAACGCGCGCACTCGCATTCCCCCCTACCGATCCATGTGTTGCATCGCGCCTGCCGCCGCCGCTGTGGGATGGATGGACGGATGTCTCGGTATCCGTGTGTGCGTATCCCCATCTTGGTTCTTGCGCCGCCGTCTCATCTAATCTGGGCATCCAACAAAAAATGCATTCGATTACTCTTGCAAATGCTTGATCAGTGCAGTGCATCATGTTTCATTTCATCGGCAATAAATGGTTGCTCCCGGCGTACCAAAAAGTTTAGTGCTGCGGTAGCCATCCCATTGGAATCTTGTACACGTATATGGTCTATTAAATATAGACAAAAAAAACTAATTATATAGTTTGATCGAAAATTATGAGAGGAATGTTTTAGGTCACTTAGTCTGTAATTAAACACTAATATTTAAATAAAAATGAAAATATTACATTAGCCAAAGTTTTAAATTTCAGCCAACTAAACACGGGCCGACTGCAAATGAGTGGTGGTACTGGCTGTCGAGATTTTGCGTGCTTTCTTGAGCGGTGTGAGGCGTTAATGGCGGCAGCAGCCAGACCAGCCACGCACCGGGTTTTCCTGCAGACGCTGCAGTACATGCTGTTGCTGATGGTGCTTTTGGCCGTGGTCTGGTTTGTTGGCTGCAGCCAGACAGAGAGAGGGGTTGTGTAGCACCTGATGATACTGTGGGCCCCCTGTACTTTCTGATGCCATGCCAGTGGGGCTGGCCGGCTGGGCCTAGGTGGGTGCATGGCATGCATGGCGACGTGGCTGTAGCCATGCCCCATGGGAGAAGATATCATTAGCAGGAAACAATCTGCAGCCATATCTACTGGATATACTGTGATTATGAAGCTGGCTGTTGCATATACTCCTCCCACACGGCTTGTGCTACAGCAGAATCACGAGATGTGAAAGCAAGAAAGAGCTGACGTGGTTTTCGCAGGTGGGGCTTGGGCTGGTGCAGCGGCAAAGCCGTGGGCTGCTGGGACTGCCAGCAGGCCGGCAACGGGGAAGAAGCAGCAGCCGCAGACCGAGCATGCGACGCCGACAAAGCAGCAGCAGCAGGCCACCGGCGCTTCGCAGGCGCTGGCCCTGCCCCAGGACTGGAGCTACCGCTGATGATGTGTTCCAGGCGCTCGCGTCGCGATGCATGGACGTATGGATGGACGCGCGCGAGGCTGCCAAGATGATGCCGAACAAGCAAGCATGCATTCGTATTCGTGTTCGTCGTCGTCGTAGTAGTGGTTTTTTTCCAGGGGAAAAGAATAATAACAACAACAACAAAGCCTGTTCGCTTCGCTTGCTCGTAAACAATCGTAAATTTTCAGTCGGGAACAGTGTTTTTCTCTCACATCAAATCAGCCAGCAGTAAATAATCTACGATACGATACGGCCTCCCGAACAGGCTGAAGAATAAAGACGATGGATGTAGTTGTAGCTGCAACATAAACAAGACAAGATTAGCATGAGTCTTATTATACTAGTTATTATAATAACTGGTCCTCTTCCTCGGGTCTGTACTATGTCGCAATAGCAAGCTGCTCCTATGGTGATCCGCGCCGTCTGTTTGTTGCTGAGTGATGTACCAGTTCTGCTAGAGGAATAAATAATTTTTTATCTGACGTATTGTATTGCTCAAAAGAAAATAAAGTAGTATTCAAATTAGAGGTTGTTTTAATTTTTCTAGCTTATATGTAGTACATAAACTTATAATTTGAAACTAGATGTAATTTCTGCTTATCCAGAAGTCAAAACTAAAAGTTTAACCCCAATCTATAATAAAAGATATTTACATTTATAATTTTAAGTAAGTACCATTTAATAATCATATAATATAGTTTTATTAGTATATCTATTTGGAGTGACAGCGAATACGCTAGATAATCATATAACATTTTTTATTAATATATAATATTGATAGTTTTTTATAAACTTAGGCCCATTTGGTTCCTAGGGAATTTATAAATCTAAATTAAAAAAAATCTTAGAATCTTATCTAAACAGGTTGGATTCTATTTGATTTTAATATACAGACATACCCCCTATGTTCAAAATTATAAGTCATTCAAAGAATCTTGGAGAGTCAAAGCATCTCAAATTTGACTAAAATTATAGAGGAAATCATAAAGATTTATGACATGGTATCCTATAAAAATATAACTAATTAAGAATCTAATGATACTAGCTGGTATCATAAATGTTATTATCTTATTATATAAATTTGATCATAACTTTTTAAACTTGGACTCTACCAAGTTTTTTGAAATGACTTGTAATCTAGAACAGGAGTAGAATCCAATGAACACTAGATTTTTTATGCGGAGTTTTAAAATTTATCAAGATTCAATGAACACGTACTCCGTAGTGAAGAAGTTTGACTCGTTTGAAACCTAGAATTGGACCCTTTTAGGTACTGAGGTAGTATGCATACCTAGAAAAGTTAGAACAATACTATATAATTTGATTTTGAAATGGTGGATGTATATTTCTAGGTACGGATGTAGTATGTATATAGCTACAAAAGCTAGGACAACATATATAATGTGAATGTGAATGATTTTTGAAATGCTGGAAGTATTTCTCCTTGATAAGGAAAATAAATTGTATAAGTCCGTACGTACCAGGAGGTTGGACCAGGAGAAGCAGTTGACGCGAAATCCTTCGCAGCCTAACGTTGACTGGGTATAGGTACGGAGTCAGTAGGACGAGTAAAACTGTAAATGTTTACCGCAGTGCTGTAGGAGTGACGGGACAGGATATCTACATGTACCGCTACGGTACCGCGATAACAGTGGTCTCCTTTTCCTCTTTTTTACCGTGGCGGTACTACTCAGATCAGAGAGAGAGAGAGAGAGAGAGGCACAGACAGACTGCAGCAGCGACGGGCGATGAACGATAACGCAGTGCACCGCGTGCTTCGTGCCTTGCATAGTTGCATGGAAGAGGAGGGCCTGGTGCAGCAGACAAGCAGCGGAACACTGTACTGTAATAAATGCTCGTCCTCCCTCCGCTCCGCTCGCTGCAAAGCAAAGCAGCTGCGGTTGCAGAGTGCAGACTGCAGAAGCGATTGCAGTGGTGCCCCACCTCACCTGCCTCCAGAGTCCAGACAAGGAAGCGTCTTGTTCAGTACCCGGCCGAGGCCGAACCCAAGCCGGCCAAGGGCCAACCCAACCCAACCGGTCAAAAAAGCACCCCTTCTCCATTGCCGAGGCGGGCCAGGCCCCAGCCATTCGCTCTGCCGGACGAGACGCTGTGAGTGAGCGTGACGGACGGGCATGCCGACCCTGACCTGAGCCGGTGGTGATGCAAACGTGCAGGCAGGCAGGCAGGGGCAGGGGCGGATCATCTGCGACACGTACTGTACGTTCCCGTGCTCCGACATGGATCGCCGAATCGTCAAAGCATGGGCGCTCGCCGATCTCGAACCGAGAAGAGAACATCCATCCGGTTCCGGTGGCGTGCCGGAGTGGGCTGGAAATGGAGAGATTCCGAGGATCTTAGCGCCCGTTGTCAAGTAGTATCATCAAGCCGACAATCAGTGGTGGACTAAACTAGTAGCAGCAGGCGCCCTCGTGCGCATGGCAAGCGCTCACGTACGCACGCCTCGGCGTGTCTGCCTCGCACCGCAGGGCTTTCTGCTCGGTGCCACGCGATTCATCCGCTGGAGCCCGTGGGGAGGAGACGAGGAGTGGAATGGAACGGAACACAGTTCCTCCGGCGCGTGCATCACGATGCATGGACGTGGGCGACAGCGGCGGAGCTTGCATGAAATGTGAAATGTGTAGGGGGTTAATTCAAAGCTACACTGCGATGGTATTATCAATAGTAGTACAGAGAATTGGAATTTTATGAAAAATCTTTGTTTTTTAAAGTTCTATCTATATACAGCCTGTTTGGGAGGCCGTAAAGGATTGTGGATTATATTTACTGCTGTCTGGTTTGGGGCCTGTTCGTTGGTTGGTGCTGGTGCTGGTTTTTTTAGAGGAAAACACTGTTGGCTGGCTGGTTTGGGTTGGCTGAAACCAACAAGCGAACAGGCTGTTGGTGTGAGAGAAAAATACCGTTCTGTCTAGAAATTTACGATCGTTTACGACCAAGCGAACAGACTAATAGACTACAATAAACAATTGAAATTCTGTCAAAAAAGAATGAACAATGTATGAATTTACATACTTATAAACTATGATCCACTTATCAGCAATTACAAACATAGCACAGCAGAGAGCCATGAATTAAT